TTACTCGCACAGCAACTACTAGCTGGCCTCCGTTACACTCACCCCCCTAAACCTCACTCTCATCCGGGTCACGGCACCAATGTAACCCCTTACACCCGGGTCCTACTCGCCCCGCTCCGAGCGGGCCTCGAACCCGGGTCTCCGGCATGAGAGTCGGGCACTCTAACAAGGAGGCTAAAGACTGCAGCCTCTAGCGTCTGTCGCTAGAGCGCCCATTGAGATCAGGGAGTGAGGTTTACTCGCACAGCAACTACTAGCTGGCCTCCGTTACATATACATACATACACTATATGTCAGTATGTCATGTGTGGGGCTTTGTATTCCCTAAACAAAAACCCAACTGCATTTTTTATTAGCTTTTGTATTGTTTCACAAATAATCGTTGTGACCAACAAAAGTTTAGAATATTTACACGTTTTCTCAAAAAAAAAAAAAAAAAAAACAATAATTCATTACATTTTATATTGTGCTTTTCTTTGTACTCAAATTGCTTTACGTACAGTAGAAGAGGGAATCTCCTCAACCACCACCAATGTGCAGCATATACCTAGATGATGCGACGGCAGCCATAGTGTGCCAGAACGCTCACCACACACCAGCATATTGGCGGAGAGGAGACAGTGATGAAGCCGATCAGTATATGGCAGGGGTGCCCAATCCTGCTCCTGCCGATCGACTGTCCTGCACAGTTCATCTCAAACCCTAATCAAACACTCCTGAAGCAACCAATTAAGGTCTTTAGGATCACATTAAGGTGTGTTTGAACTGTGCAGGACAGTCAATCACAAGGAGCAGGATTGGGCACCCCTATGGGGATGATTAGGCGGCCATGGGTGGACAGAGGCCAATGGGAAACATTTGTTTGGGTTTTGTTTTTTTTAATGACCACAGAGAGTCAAGACCTCGGTTTATCATCTCATTCGAAGGATGCTGCTTTTTGACAGTAGTGTCACTGTCACTATACTGGGCCGTTAGAACCCAGGTCACACAGATCACAGGGTGAGCACCCCCTACTGGTGTCACTAACACCTCTTCCAGCAGCAACCTAGTTTTCCCGGGAGGTCTCCTGACCAGGCTGAGCTTCAGTGGGCAACCAGTCTTGGGCTACATGGTTCAAATACAATTGCCAGTAGTAAAAACATATGAATGTTGGTTATGAACTTGCTACACCATGGTCGCATGATTTTCACTTCAAACAACCCTTTCAGTTTTCGTGAAAAAAAAAAAAGCCTGAAAGTTTAAGTTAGTGTGCACAAATGTGCAAGTATGCGATTATAAACATAATAAGGCTGTAAAGGCTGCCTTTTTTCAAGGCAAGTAATAGCTTTTGACAAAAATCACAAGGGTTTATTACTGGTGTATTTTATGTTGCAAATTAAAATGTGAAAATATCTTGAGCTTGGGTTAACCACAGACCTTATATTAGGCATTTAGAAAAAAAAAAATCATCAAATTAAAGAACACATTAACTACTGGACGATGCAACTGGAAGTGCTAAAATGCTAACTCGTTTTTTTTTGTTTTTTTTTGGCTTACAAAAATACATCGTCCCTGCAGCACATAATTATGACTTTTCTCTGTCTATAATTGTATAATATATACAAATAATTAATATCAGGGTTATACAAGGGTTATATATACAGTATATATATATATATATATATATATATTTTTTTTTTTTTTTTTGCACTATGGCACTTTGATATATTCTGAATTATATCCATGTACCAAAGTATTTACATTAGACCAGTTAGACCTGAAAAGAAAGGTGAGTCTCACATAATGTGCTGTGACAGCGCATTCACACATATGTTTGAGAAATGATGAGTATATGTATAGTGTGTGTGTGTGTGTGTGTTTGAGGTCAGAGGGGGGGTGTGTGTAGCAGTGCTGACACTAGTGTGAAGCTGGCCCAGTTGGGTGAGAGGCGCTGTGATCTTCACACACCAATGCGTCTGAGATCCATGACCTATATAGCATGTTACACGCTCTGCTTGTCTCCTGTGTTCCTCTAATAGAGCAGGGCAGTGCATTACAGGTACAACACACACAAGGGACCCGTACACACAGATCAGAGCCATCCCTCATGACATAAGACCTGCTGAGACACTTAAGATCTGATTTAATCACAACATCTGATTTTTTTCATCTTGTGTATAACTTTTATGTTGTTATTTTGTATGTTTTGGTCTGTTGCTGTTTTCACTGTTAAGCAGCAGTTTCCTGTCTGCCTGAGTGGATTGTGGTTGTTGCTCTGTATTGTTTTTAATCTCTATTCACTATCTTTCCTTGTTGTTTATATTGCTTAATATAACTTAATCATCACAGTATATCTAATATTATCTAATATTGTCTGTCACATTAATCTGACATCGCTAGCTTTAATCTCAATCGTTAGCACAACGCGTTAGCATTTCGCTAGCCTGTTAGCCATTCGTGCTTGACATTTTATTTTCCTCCCACACTCGCGCCTTTTACGAGTCCATCAAACAACGGTGGTAAGTCGGATCAGTTAACAAACACGTGAGCCATGTCATCTTATCCTGTTATCGGCATTTGCATTGCCTGCCACATGTATAGCATAGCATTCTCTGTCAGCGGTGAGGGTTTCACTTGTGATTAATGCAGGGAGATAGTCAGGCTGACTGAGAAGAATCAGAAGAAGAATCTTCTGATAGGTGCAGCACAATTAAGTAAAATCGCTGCATGGCTTAAGTGATAAATATATTAGGAAGTCTATTTGCAAAAGTGCTTTTCTTTGAAACAAAAAAGTTGCAAGTGCAATGTGAGTGCATGCCTGCAGGGGATTGGAGATAATCGCACCAAGGTATGGTACAGGGCAACCGTGCCTAGTTTGAGTACACGTTTAGTTTAGGATCCAATTCTGACTATTAACTAACTATTAAGTGAAATTTTTGCCTCAATAAACCCACAATTACTGCTCATTAATAGTTAGTAAGATAGTTGTTAAGTTTAGCTATTGGGTAGGATTATGGGATTATGGGATATACTGTAAACTAAAGGGTTACTTAAAGCATTAATTTCTTTTAAAGGAAAAATCCAAACTTTTGCATTTTTATCCAATTATGTCTTAAAGTCACCACATTTTACTTCTATAATTTGATGCATTTCTGAAACAGGATAATCATCAACAACAACAACTAGAAGTGTAGTGGGTCATGATTTTTTTTTTTTTTTTTTTTTTATCATTGGATGGTGAAAAGTGGTCATTATAGACCATGGGTGTCCAAACTCCGTCCTAAACACTAACCTGCAGAGTTTAATTCCAACTTCCCTCAACACACCTGCCCAAAAGTCTCTAGATGGCCTTTTAAGAGCTTGATTATGTGGTTCAGGTTTGTTTAGTTAGGGTTGGAGCTGAACTCAGGATTGACACTTGTATTTCAGGATAAATTGCATTTTTAATGTTTGACAAATAAAAACATGGCTGCGAGGTTAGGTTGTAGTTTCTTAAGTTCCTATCCATGCTAGCTTTGTAAAAATTAAATATGATGTTTATCCTGATTTCTGAAGGTCCTTAAGACAGGTTAAATGGGGAATTAGAGGGATCCATTATGTTAAATTGTGCACAAAGTAAACAGGATCCACTATGAGGTTGTGGTTGATGTCATTTCCGGTTTCATTCAATATAATTTCCGGTGTCATTCATATTACTGGAAAAGCAAGGTCAACTTGAGCACTCTGTAGTGGTGTAGTAGGTCTTCAAAGTATTCCACACATAAAGACAATTTGCATTCTGTGCAAAAATAGTATAAATAGCAAGCTTTTCCAAGCATGGCCTTTAACACCAGCATTAATGAGTGATACGGGCCAGTAGTTTCTTTGTTTTTCCCTTCCCTCGTTTAAGGATTAGGCTGAAGCAGGTTATTATCGACTGTTGTTGGTTAGTGCCGTGTCAGGGTCAGAGGCTGAGTGAGTCATTCAGAAACCTGACACGCTGCATTCCTGCATCTCTCAGCCAGAGCTCATCACCTCACAAGCACAGCTGTAAATTACAGACCATTACTGTCAACTATCCGGGTTTGCATTCATCTCAGTGAGCACTGAACTGTGGCCGCAGGTAGGGCAGGTAATTGCGTCAGGGTAAGCATTCGTGCAAGCATGCAGTTGTACTCAGATACACCCTTGGTCTGTACTCAGAACACACACACACAAACACGTGCAGCTACATGCATGGGAAGTCGTAGTCTGTTTTTTGCTTTCTTTGCGTTAGCATTGTCCAGTAAAATATCAATATAACAAATTTTGATACCACAGCAAAGCAAATGCCAATTTACACTAATGGCATTAGCAATTAAATGGTAAAAAATAAAGAACATAAAAATATATATATATATTTTATTTCTTTTTTTTTTATAATGACAGATAGGCTGCATTTAAACTGCAAGACCTACTGTAACACACCAATTCGATATTTTGACAATTTTTTTATATGATTATCTCTCGTGATTTTCATTCATGTACAGTCACCTTTTTCTCTTTTTTTTTTTTTTTTTTTAGTTCCTAATAATCCACATTTTAAAACTTTTGAAATTAAAACATATTTTGAAATCCTCATGTCCTCAAAAAAAATCCTTGATAATTCCACAAATAAATGCTAAAATGTCCTGTTCAATACTTTTGGCACCTTGGGGTAGTTTATAAATTACAAAATAATGTTGGTTGGTAATGTTGGTTAAGTTGAAATTGCCTCTAAGACATGACACAAACTTTTCATTGAAGAAATAGTTCACCCAAAAAAATGAAAATCACCTTGATGTCATTTAAAAATTGTATAACATTCTGTCTTATATTGAAGACAAATCACATTGACAATCAATAGGGTCCAGTGTTGTTTTGCACTCATTCATCTACACAGCACTTTCTGTAGACCATGTGTTCAATTTTAAAAGCAGTAACTCAGCAAATTGTGTCAATACTTGATTTGAGTCATATCTAATAACGTGTGTGTATGTCTGTGGGTGTATGTGTCTCATTAGGTGGCAGTGTATGACTACATCTGGACGGAGGAGGAGCCTGTGGTGGGATTGGCACCGCCTGTAGGCATGCCCAGTACAGGATGCGAGACAAGCACCCATCTATCCATCTACACACTGCACTTAAGCGGCCTGCGGCAACATTACAGACACTTCCTGAGACAACCTGATGGTGCCATTATAGAGGTGGGCATCTTCTATGGCAGAATCCTGAAGTGAACTTTAAAAGTTAGTTCTCCCAAAAATGTAAATTGTCATAATTTACCCTCATATTGTTCTAAACCCGTAAGACTTTTGTTCATTTTCAAAGCACAAATGAAAATGTCTTTAATAAAATCTGAGCTACCTCTGTCCCTCCATTGACAGCTACGCAACTACCACTTTGCCGCTTCAAAAAGTTCATAAAGAGATTGTAAAACTGGTTTATATGTATTGAGCAGTTTAATTACAATTTTTCTGAAGAGACACAATTTTTATATGATGAACAGATTGAATTTAGGCTTTTATTATCATATAAACATTGATCAATAAACACAAACAGAAGCTCAACTGTACATGTTTGAAGCACAAGAACAAACTCTCGCGGGAGCACACGAGAACGAACCTCATTGGTTCTTGCACGTCAAGCAAGGATGCTTGAGCTTCTGGTTACGATAACTGATGTATTTGAATTTATTGACAGGATAGCCTCTTGAGATGCAACATCTCATTTTCAAGGGGGTCCTAAAAACATAAGTAATATACAACACAGACAACATAAGACACACACTCTTGTGGGCTTCTACACCCAACATAGTTTCAGTAGTTAGTAGTTTCATTACAGAATCTCATCATCATAAGTGAATCTCAACCAAGGAAAAATAAATAAATAAATAAAATCAAAAACATAAACAGGTTATTTTAAGATAAGAGAATAGGCATAACCTAAAATGAGTGAGTTGATGAAGGTTTATGTGTAAATATTAAAACTGTTCTGGAATAAAATGATTGTGTCTCTTCAAATATTTAGACTAAACCACTCAATTCAAATGAATTAGTTAGATTAATCTCTTTATGAACTTTTTCAAGCATGCAAAGTGGTAGTTGCGTTGCAGTCAATGGAGGAACAGAAAAAAAAATCGTCTTATTTATAAGATAACTTCATTTGTGTTCCAAAGATGGACAAAAATATTAAGGGCTTGAAAAGATATGAGGGTGAGTAAATGATGACAAAAATGTTCTTTTTTTGGTGAAACCCTACCTTTAATAAGTGACTGTCTCAGAACCCTTTATGCACAACACACAAATGGTGCTGCTCACGTGGCGGTCACCCAAGAATTTATCAGTCACAATTGAGCCTGAGATTAGCATGTTGCAATGCAAACAACACAAAACAGGAAAAAAAAAAACAATACCTTTTTCATTGGATTGAAGAATTTTGCACACTTTTCAGTATTAAAGAGACCATCCAGCTCACTGATTTGTTGTTATTATATTTCCTTACCTTTGAAAGATGCATAATTCTTCCTCTGGTTTTAGCCAAAACAATTCAAACTGGCAGCATACTGGTGCTGTCTACACTGGAAAAAAAATAATCACTCATGAACTTCTACAAAATTTCATTAACAATTACACGTTAAATTTTGAATTGGAATAACCAAAATGGTATTTTCTTGTAAAATGTTCACCAATAATGTTTGAAAAAACATTTCTACAGTGTATCTTGTGAAAAAAGTCTTATTGTCCAAGTGTGCCTAACGATCCCTTAAAATTCTGCTGCTCAAGGTTTTGGAACTGAGCTAAAGAGCTAAAGAACGGGGTATTGCCACCTTCACCACAGGCAACCAATGCATATCGTTCATGGATGTATCCCTAACACCTGGACTAGGTGCTAATTCTTTCTTCCTTTGGATAATCTAGGAATCTATAGCAGGATATATTCGCTAACCTCCGCCTATGGCTTCACACATTATTAAATGCATTGGAACAGCAGGGCGCAGACTGCCGTCCAGATTGCTGTCTAATTAAATATACCACTGATTCTGCTTGGTAACAACTGCAAGCACATGAATTAACTCCCATCCCCCCCGAGAACAACCTGGATCATCCTAACAAAATTAATATTTTAGAACTTCCGTGTCAAAAACAGCAGATTTATGCTTCATGCGCGTCAACGGCTCGCTTGCAGGCAGTGCGGTCGGTTAATGGCGTCCTGAGCTGTGTTGTGACTGATGAGAGCACCAACGAACACGCCACATATTTATCAGTCTGAGGGGCGGCCCTGGAGAGCTGCAAACACATCAGTGATGATACTAAACAACAAAACACTTGACAAGCTGTCAAAAATTCCTAAACTTTGTCCATGTTTGGAAGACCAAATTCTGTATACTAGCATTCAACAATTGCAAATCATACAAACTCATATAATACAATAGGTTCTGTAAATGCCAGCTTTGTAAAATTAACACTTGCAAACATATAGTGATTTAGACAAAAAAAACATTAGAATGCCCCAAAAGTCTTCAATGTTGTTTTTGGAGTCTGAATTTAACAGAAGCTGTGTTCCAAAACCAATTTTACTGCTGTGCGCATGTTTTAATTCATTTGTTTGTTTGTTCCTGCAAAAAATTCATGTTAATGTTAGCATCATATGAACAGTTTCCACAAAAAAAGCAGTTAATTCAGCACTCTAAGGCATTTATTTATTTAAAAATAAACTCTCTAAAATAAAAAAAATATGCTGGTTTGTTTTAACCCAACTTTTGGTCAAATATGGTGGACTAACCCAATTAACATGTTTAAATGACAATTTTAAGCCAACATTTGGGTTTGTCCATATTTGACCCAAAATTGGGTCATTTTTTTAAAGTGTATAAATGTATTATTATTATTTAAATATGATTAATTTTGCACAATAAGAGTATTAAGAAAGTAATCTTTGATTTCATTTGGACTTTCGCACCGAATGACTTTGATTTTTTTAGGAGGGGGTTGTGTATAGTGTTTGTGGCTGGCTCAGCAGAGGGAAGTGTCAGGCCATATCTGGAGTGTGTGATGGGTGTGGCGGTGGGCAGGCTGACACACGAAAGACGCTGATAGCATCAGTGCCGTCCACCCCAGGGCACATGCGACAGCCACGCCAGCACCCAGACAGCATTGCCAACCTACTACACTAAGTGTAACTCATTTTCAATGTATTTAATGTAATTTTATCATCTAGAAGTAATCAAATCTCCAGAACACGAAACCGATCTGAACATTTACATTTACAGCTACCCATGTAGTAGCTAATTTTGGTGTTTGACACTGGGATATGAGCAGGGGTACTGTACTTCAGTGTACTCTTTTTATTATTATTTTGGAGGAATATGTACTTTTTCCTCAAGTTTTATTGAATCTAAATATTTGAATATTTACCCAATTTCTTAAGTGTATAGTAAGCAGTCTAATAAACGCAAAAATAATGTCTGCGGCTGAATTTTAATAAAAACGATTTTTCTAGAACAGTGATATGACTGGAGCGTTCAAGGTCAGAATTGTTCAAGGGGTGGTCCTTCACATAATAAGGTGGACAAAGAGTATGAAACCAGGACACCAAATTGCCTATAAAAAATTTAACACAGCTCAGTTTCAAGTTCAAAACTGCAAACACTGCAGTCTTTAAAAATGTGTACTATTAAACTTAAAAGCTTAAGTTCTGCTTTTGCTTAAAAAGAAGTTTCGCTGCTGCAAACTGAATATGATCAAATTGGCTGTGCAAGTCATCTCAACTTAAATTATATGAAAACTGACTATAAAAATCAAGTTGAATCTTCATATATAAGAAAGTTGAAATTTCTTAAAATTTTTACGAGATAAAGTAATGTAAAAACATATGTTGTTTGATCTCATATATATATATATATATATATATATATATATATATATATATATATATATATATATACACACACACACATATATATATATATATATATATATATATATCTTCCTATTTCCTATGATCAACTATGTCAGTATAAACATTAGATGAATTATAAACATTAAGATAATGTCACCATGTCCTCCCGCCATAATAGTCTTAGACAACAGAACGTCTGGTTGAAAACTGAGATGAACTGATCATAATCAATTTTCTCTGTCAGTTCGTGTTAAAGGAATCGCCCGGATTCATTGCTATAGACTTGGATTCTTGCAGCAGTATAAGTGGGAAATTTGAAATAGTTTAAGCTACAGTATCAACAGATTGATATTGGCTTTACCCATTTTAAAGTCAACTCCACAAATGAGCAAATCTTACTGTTACAAGTTTTACAACCTTGCGTCGTAAAGATAACATTGTGGACGGGACTAACAGAAACTTACGAATCATATTTAATGTTTTATTTTCACGTAATGATATGCACCTATTGGGAGAGGGAAAACTAGCAAACCACCTACAATTGACCATTGAAACTTGCATTTAATCATTGTTTTTTTTTTTTTCTATAAAGTTATAGAAGCTTTGCCACTGGATTGGAGTCTCATTATTTCTGTACAAATTTTGTTTACACATTTTTATTGCACCGTTGAATGTGATTAGATCAAAATACATTTCTGTGCACAAACCCATCATTACAGGGGATTTAGGTTTCATTGAAGATAAGCTTTGTCAGCATGCAACAGAAAACTGTGCAGTTTAATCAGTTGCAATTTTGCAGCAACTTTATTATCCTCTTGTGATGTTTCTATTAAAGTTAGGGATCCTTTAAAAGCAAACATTACTTAAGCAGATGTTTTCCGCTCCCAAGTAACTACAAATTAGGCTGATAATAGCTCCGATTTTAATGCAGCACCAATAACTTCTTCAGTTCCGATTGGGCCAACCCCCGCCTCATATGTGGAAACAAGATGGCGTTGGACATAAACGCGTGTGAATTCATTAGGACTCGTGCTAAAACGGCAGTAGGTTTATGTGCGTGAGCGCGTGTCTTTCCTCTCAGGCTAGTTTTTAAGTGTCTGCGGCCTAAGAAAGCGGTGCTCTGGCCAACTGTGCTGCATCATCTCTTGTTCCCATATGCCGTCTGCAGCATATGTGAAGCCTGCCGCCACTTCTGTAAAACTTCCATTAAAAATGCACAACTACAGCTCCAACAGCTTGAGTATTACCTCTGCACAAATTATTAATGCTCGGCAAAACCGCTGATGAGCACCCAGCACGCATTAAACACACTCACTTTTGCCAGCCTGTTTTGTCATGGTTTTGAAGCATGCGGCTTTGTTTGCGTTTCTGTGTGTCTTTTGTTTGTCCTTGTATACAGCAGACTCTTTAAATAGACGCAGTCATCTGGTATCGAAAGGTGCTCACGATTGAATGCTTATGACTTTTGCCTTACAACACGGATAGTTTTAGAGACTTCTGCATGATAAAACACTTGTCTTGAATTGTGGAAAAAGGAATTAGTTGTTACTCCTATGAATATTTTCAGGCTAATTTTATTTTCAAGTGAATTTCTGAATTTGACACAAACCTTAAAGTCTTCAATGCAGAAAACCTTTTGGACAGTACTTTTTTGCTCAGGAAAAAATAAATAAATAAATAAATAAATATATATATATATTTAGCTGAACTAACATGTTATATAACATTATAATAGCAGGGTATCACGTTAAATGGGGCTGTTTATTGACTCTGAACTGAAGTTATTTTGTAAAGTTAAATTGTATTATAGGCTTGTGCTAATAGCTTCTCAACAAAACATTTATTTTTTCAGTAAAACAATTCATAAAACAGCATTTAAGCTACTGCTGTAGTTTTTTAAAGGGTTAGTTCACAGAGTAATGATAAATGTCATCATTTACTAACCCGTATACATTATGTCATTCCAAGCTCATGACACTTAACCTCATCTTCGAAACATAAATGAAAATAGTTTCATGAAATCTCAGTGAAATCTCAGTGATTCCACATAAACTTCGACTCTTCATAAAGTTCAAAGAGATGTTAAAAGATCTCCAAAACCAGGTTTTTGATGATACACAGTCATTTTATATGATGAACAAATTTAATTTAGGCTTTTATTCACACTTAAACATTGATCAATTCACATAGAGCGCATCAAATACAGTAAACGAAAGGTAAACATTATTGTTTGACGTGAGAAGCAATGAAATGTGTTCTCGCATGCTATGCAAGCATGTTTGAGCTTGTGCAAGAACAGTGAGATTTCAAGTATGGTTGAGGTTCCACTTACCATATTTGATGAGCTCTACATAGCCTATGTGTGTTCATCAGTGTTTATATGTGAATAAAAGGCTAAATTATATCTGTTCGTCATATAGAGTGATTATGTATCTTCAGAAGACTGAATAAAATGAAAGTCAAAAGGGTTTTGGAATGACTTGGGGATCATGAACTATCCATTTAAATACCCTAGTTCAAACTTTCAGATGAATCTAAAATCTTTATAAAGGTATAGACTTTTTTGCAGTGTATAATATAGTCTTTTATTGTATTTGCTTGATGGTATTGGAGTTCCAAAAAAGGTCATAATGTATGATTACTCACTATGACTAATTAGTACTACTGCTGGAGAAAACAACCATTTATGTAACTGAACTTTTGATTCAAAACCTGAAGTTTAGCATTTATGACATCTAGTCCCAGTCACCCCATACGATTAAGTATGTGTGTTATTAGTGCGTTATTGAACCAAGCCATTTCCAGAGACTTCTCTAACCTGGGGTGATCATTTGCTCCGCGCAGGCAATGAGGTAAGAATCGTGACATTTTATGTGTCATATCTTCATTTGGATAATAGTGTATCAGATCCTCCATTAAAGTCCTTCTGTTGAGCTCACATTTATGAGTCAGAGCTCAGGACAGCCGACCGAAGTCACATTGACCCAGATTAGCATTTGAATTTAAAATATTTAACCTTTAAAATAATCCTGCAGCTAGAGTAATTGACAAACGACCTCAGTGTCTGCTTATATATCACTGTTATTTATATTTGACTATGTCTCATATGCCATGAGGTCAACTGCAAAAATAATAATTAAAAAAATAAACATAATTCTAATCATATTTAAGTTTTTGTTCTTGTTTAATGGGGCTAGATCATTCAAATATGTTGCATGCATGTCCTTTTTGCATAGCAAACTTATAAATGTGAATTGAACAATGTCTTGCAATTGTGATTTAGGATTTTGTTCTATTTATTAATTAATTTATTTATTGTGCAGTGTTGAACTGCAGTCCACTGTGAAACTAAATCTTCAAAAGACCACTTTGTTGTACGTGTCATTTTATTATTATATATATATATATATATATGAAGAGCTCTTTTCCAAAACGCGATAAACGCCATTTTTTTAAAAAATGAGTTTGTCGTGTCATTCTGCTGTGGACAGAACCCTTTCACTGCTCCATCAACGTTTCATGCCAAATCGCTATATTTCCTTGTTTAAAATGTACTGCAAGATACAGTTTCTTTCCAAACCGCGATAAGCGCCAGCCCTGTTTTTAGCCTAAACGCTATGAATCCTCAAATTCAATGAGCGCTCTACACAATCCAGCACTGCGGCACTCTGAACAGAGGTTTATTATGTTCATTCATTCCTCAAAATGAGTCCTAGTTTTCTAGTCAACTAGTAGTAGATCGTTTAAGCCATTTGTATTATCAGTAATCACATATATTGGTTTAATTAAATGGGAGAGAAACCATATGAGCGTTTTTAATTGCCTATTCCGCATCTCAACGTATGCATAAAGCTTGCCACAAAGAACTGGCAAAAGTAATGATTATGCATGTAATATTTGAATTGTTTATTAATAAACTAGTGTTTTCTGTCAGTGTCAGCAGCAAAGATAAAGTTGATGATGCTTACTCGCCATCTTCGCAGTGAACGCGCATATAGGCCTATAGAGAGAAACGCATACTTCGAATTAGCCTACATACGCAGAGAGTTGCCAATTTATTTTAGTTTTTAACTGTTTTGTTTAAAAGTAGACATTTTTATAGCTTTCTGTAGCCTAGTTCTCAGGCCTGTGTGAGGCAAGCGTCACGGTGTTTCGGTTCATATTATGAGACGCGCTCCGGTTCACCTGCGCGCCTCTGTGTCCTGATTATATTGTCTGATATTTACTTCTAATGTATTAATCCAGTCAATTTGTCGATGAAACATTTATTAAAATGAAGATACAATTTATATGAAACGAAATTTACAAGCTTTCTACAAAACAAAACTTAATAAGTGGTCAAAATCATGTCTGACGCACTCCAAATATTTTCCGATATTGGGCAGCTTTTGAATTTTGATCCTATCTTACTCATCTCATGCGGTTCCCTTTTCATAGCCTATTTAACATAGATGAAATAATAAAAATAAGTAATGTAATATTATTAAACACAAATGTGAAACGTAGCCTATGTTTATTTATTTATTTTTTTTTGTTTTTTTACTTATATTTAAGCGTCATGCTGCTCCGCTTTGCTCACATGTTATGTAGCCTGTGTGTGTGTGTGCATTTGCTGGAGGGGTGCCCATCCCTTTTTTGAATATCGTTATCATAAATTGATCATTTTTAATAATTCGGTTTTTTTCATGCATATGTTGAAATTGGTACTATTTGTTTGAGGTTTGACACTTACAGTTTGACACTTACAATTGACAATTACTAAAAATGATACAAAAAATGGATAGATTTATAGCGTTTTGGAAAAAAATAAAATTAACTTTTAAATTATCATTAACAATATTGTTGTTTGATTTAATAATTATTGTTCAAAATGTTCAGACTGAACCAATAAAACATTTAAACAGGATAATTTGAATATTCACAAAATGTGTGGGTCTAGGTAAAAAATGTAGTTTTCCTGAAAACTATTGAAATGGATTTATAGCGTTTTGGAAAAGAGCTCTTCATATATATTTTTATTTTTATTTATTATTTTTTTTTTTTTTTATGTTACACACTGTTGTTTATTGTCTCTACCACTATGGCTGCCCTGTTAGTACAGTTAGTACACTAGTACAGTTTCATGTTGTGTAATGGTTAAATGTCTACAGAACCAATAATTATAAGTATTGCAATTAAATGCAATCCAGCTTTGACAAAATATCCACTTTAGTTTACAACACAGAAGTAAGAATTTCCTGTGAATTTGAGACTTCTGATTCATTAGCCACTATACAGTATATACATTACTATAAGAAGAAAAATGTGCAGTAAATGTAAAAAAAAAATAAAAAAAATATATGTGCTACAAATCAGTGTGTTTGTTTATGATAATAAGTTGTAATATGAAAACAAAAACCAGTTTGCTAAATCAAGCAGCATAATGGACTGTTTTTGTACTGCTAAATAACTGGAAGCAGGTGATACTGGAATCTTTGCACTTTCAACGTGGATGCGTGCTAATTGTGGGAAAATAACTTAAATGGTTTTGAATTTGTTTTCTTGCATTGAGATGAAGTTTCAAAGCAAATCTGAATAATTAGTTTGATCATTTTGTATGGTGTGTTGTTACAGGTGATGGATGATTCTGACAGTAAAGAGTTTCAGACAGCAGAGGTGCGTGAGGAACATGAGAGGATGAAGAGCGGGACACATTTCAGAGAGAGGAAGAGGAGAAAACCTGCCTGGCGTGAGTATCAACACCAAACTGAGACGCAAATGAATGTAGATTAAGATAAAGAATTATATGATAACGGTGGTGGAAGTTGTTATAATGTGTATTGTTTGTGTTGTGTGTTAAGGATCGCACAGGGTTGAGCCTCTTGGAGGAAGTGCCTGTGACTCAAGCAATGGAATTAAATATCCCAGACCATAACCTGAAGTAGCCACACACACACACACACAGAAAAGTCACACAGTACATTTGGATATACATATATATATATATATATATATATATATATATATATGTTAGGGAAAAAAAATAGAAAAAAAAAACCTCTGACAGCATTTGTTTGCAGATGACACTTATATTGTGTATTAACTGAAATGACATTTAGATATGTTAATTGTGACTTAAGCGTCTGACTTTTGTAAAACTGTATTCTGTCATGTTGTGTAGTAAATCACACATAAATGCCAAGGTAAATTTCAATAAGATACAAATGGAAAGAGATACAACACACCAAGAATCAGAAAACACTTGATACAAGATACTACGAATTAAAGGGATAGTTCACCCAAAAATGAAAATTCTGTCATCATTTACTCACCCTCAAGTTGTTCTAAACCTGAATGAATTTCTTTCTTCTGCTGAAAGACTATATTTAGCAGAATAAATACGTGGCTTTAATGTACTTACATCTAAAAATAAGTACAATATACTTCTTTTGTTCATGTTGTATTGTAAAACACATTGCTGCTTCTATCACTTGAGAAGTGATACTGGTAAGGTTAGGGACATGTGTGGTAATATGGGTTGGTTTAAGGGTTAAAGGGATTGTTCACTTTGAAATTAATTCTTGATAAGTTTTAGCTTACCTCAAGGGCATCCAAGATGTAGGTGTCTTTGTTTCCACAGTATTTTCAATTTCGACATTTTTTAGGTCAAACCATTCTTGTCTGTCAGTCATATAATGGAGGTTTATGGGGTCCACCTCAAAGAGCATGCACAGAGAAGTCCAAATTAAACATGATTTAATGATACGTAAATGTAAGTACACATTGATGGCCTAAATAAGACACGAAACGAGCGATTTGTGTGAGAAAGCGAACAGTATTTATATTGTTTTTACCTCTTGTAACCACAGCCATGTCCAACTGATCTGAAGGCACGGGCGCTTCGGTCTGCGCAAGCGCCCGAAAGCGGCGGAAGTGATCTCTTGTGCGGTTGCGAAAAAAATCAATGTTGTCTGTTGATATATCGAAATTGTCTTCCATTGCAATTTTCTGTATATTCACAGTGAAGGGCAACGCTTCTGAAATCTTTGTGTAAACAATGAGTGACGTACACGGGCAAGAGATCACTTCTGGCGCTTGCCGGCGCTTGCGCAGACAGAAGCGCCCTCGCCCTCAAGTACTTGGACGTGACTGTGATTACAAGAGTTAAAAACGATATAAATACTGTTCGTTTTCTCACACAAACTGCTCGTTTCGTGTCATAGGCCATCAATGTGTACTTACATTTACGAGTCATTAAATCATGTTTAATCTGGACTTCTCTGTGCATGCTCATTGAGGAGGACCGAGGGTGAACCCATAAACCTCCATTATATGACTGATAGACAACAACGGTTTGACCTAAAAATATCAAAATTCAAAATACTGTGGAAACAAAGACACCTACATCTTGGATGCCCTTGAGTTAAGCTAAAACATATAAAAAATTAATTTCCAATTGAACTATCCCTTTAAGGTGTAAGGGACGGGTCAACAGTATAATTGCAAATGTAATTACATAAATTACAGCTGTAATTCAATGCGGATATTTTTTTAATATAAGTACAATGCGTAAACATGTATGCACACAATAAGTACATTGTATCAAACTATTAATTTCAATGTTTGTACATAGGATTTGAGTTAAAGCCACTTGATATAAAGTTGGACCAGATATTGGTAACCGCGCAGCTGATAAGCCCCATTGACTTCCATAGTATAGAGAAAGAAAAGAAAAAAATACTGTGGAACAACATTCTTCAAAATATATTCCATTGTGTTCTGCAGTAGAAAGAAATTCATACAGGCTTGGAATAAATTGACGGTGAGTAAATGATTGCGGGATTTCTTTGGGTGAACGATCACTTTAAAAACACGAATATAGAAAGATTGAAGAAAGATTTAATGGAAACTGATGCACTCCAATTAAACATGGATTTGAAATTAATATTTGCATTTAACTTTACTTACAGTAATACAATATATACATGTGTTTTTGTGTCAGATGTCCAAGGACAGATGTAGAAAACTAATCCCAGACGTGAATTACAATACATACAAGCAAGGCAGTTCATCACCCAGAAAACAATGTAAAGTAAAAGTTCCACGAAGACATGAATGCGGGTGGTTTGGTCTTCACTGCTGCTTCAACACCATGAAAAATGACGATTCTAAAAGTCACTTATCAAGACACAGTGATAAAATATCAATATTGGGGCCACATTAAGCAGGATAATATTCTGTCTGCCTTGATTTGTATTGAGTATGTGTCTGCTGCCCGGTGCTTGACGTAATGAACTCGCCCACAAATCAGCCCTTAATGGGGCCCTACTTATATATACTGCTTAATTAAAGGTTGTGGGCTTATTAACATGTGTCAGCGGTGGCGGCTGGGCGAGATTGAATCTGTTCGTACGGAGCCAGGTTGTAAAGGTTTTATAGATAACCTATCATTATTAAAGCCCATTGCTTAATATCAGATCTTAATAACCTGTCATTTTCATTGATGATGATTTTCTTTATGGGCGGCCATTATGGTCCAAAGTTGCGGCTGTTTAGGGAAAAGCTGTTTGGGACTCTCGGCACCTCAGCGCTTATGACTCTCGTGTGCTCATTGAACTTTCTGTCTTTTATGCGACGAGAGAGCATCAGTGAGTAGTGACCAGAGGGCTTTTAGCTCAGAACAGCCCAGCTGAGATGAGCCTTCATCTCTCTCTCTCTCTCTCTCTCTCTCTCTCTCTCTCTCTCTCTCTCTCTCTCTCTCTCTCTCTCTCTCTCTCTCTCTCTCTCTCTCTCTCTCTCTCTCTCTCTCTCTCTCTCTCTCTCTGTGTGTGTTTACAGTCTGCATCAGAAACACACACTGAGCCCATCAAACTAATTCATATCCATCATGCATTCTTTCATTTTATGAAAGAATTTTTAGTAGATTGTATGTAATATCTTTTTACTAAACTACATTTTATTTCTTTCATTTTACATTTCTTTTGTAATTATTATAGAAAATGAAAATAAGAACACTTGATTTTTTTTATTTTTTTTATTTTTTTTTTCACACCGCAAGACTATTTAAGTATGAAATAAAATTACGGTAATAGGTAGGTTAAATCTGACCCGAAATCAGATTTTCCTAAATGTAAATATATAAGTGTGCTCAAGGTTGTGTAGTTTCATCACATCAAGGAACTGTAATGTGATAAACTGATAAAAACAAAAACATCCAGATCTTGTACTGTATTTATTCAGGCTGTATTACAGGGGGTCAAATTGATACTTTTGTTCAGAAAAGATGCATTCAATTAATCAAAAATAGTCCAATACATTTATAATGTTACAAAAACAAATCAATTTGAAATAAATGCTCTACGGTTATAAAACTAGAGGGGGAAAGGGATGTATGGTGTCCACAAGCAGCCCAGCAATTTGCAATTGTGTATAATCTAAGCATCAAATCAGCACATTAGAATGCTCTCTGAATTAATAATGGATAATAACTGAATAAATACACTTTCAATATAGATTAAAGCAGACGACATCTATTTTCAATTTAATTTTTAAAATGTTTTGACCGTATTTTTGAAAAAGTTCTGTGAGAGTGACGTTCCCTCCATATGACCAGCACTTCAAATATTTAATTGTCAACGACAAATACTGTTTCAAATATCAAACGGATCCCCGGCAGCAGTTATTTCTGTGAAAGATGCCGGCGGGTTCTCTCTCTTCTGTTTTTGTGCTGATTTCAGTGAAAAGAGAAGTCAAACCATGGTATAGGAACTACAACTTATTGAAGTATGTTCTTGCATTCATACTGGTACTTAAACATGAAAAGGAAACACTTTGTGTAAATCTATGTGTAAGTATCCCTGCTGATATTGAATATAGAGAGACGGGGATGGGTGCAGTGTGTATGATAGAGGCCAGTCTACAGGCTGTATTGCTGCTGACTCTGCTTAGTTCGATTAAACTACACAAAGGCTTTTCACATTTTCAGATTTGACTTTAGGGAACTTTGCATTTTCTCTTTAAGATATGTTGCTGATGAACATTTTTAAAAACGTACACTGAGATTTATACAATGTTGGTGAGTGTGTGTAGCTGGGATCAAGGTATTCTCATAAGAATGGATTTAAACATCATCAGATTTTGATCTATTACTTTACAACCCTGTTTTAGGTCCACAAAACATGAGGGGCCGTGTGTTTCACTGATTTTACGGAAAATATGAAAATATAGTATGCAAGGCTTTTCGATATAATTAATAACACCATTTAAAAAAGGTTGTTTTTTGAACATTCTGTAGACTATTGAGAATGAGGAGTCACATGCCTATTTGGGCGGGGTCTGAGCCGGTCGGCCATGATGGTAGGAGACGCTGTCGGTTACCAGGGGCAACGCCTTTAGAACCCATAGACGCGACTAATCATTCCAGAGCTCCTAAATTTTCGCGCATTTATTATTTTGGCAGGACAGAGACGGATCTAAGAATACGAGAAAAAAAGGAAGAAAGTAAAGCAATGCTAAAAGATAAGGTGAAAGAAAAGGGACCTTACAGGAACAACTCACACAAAGTGCAAAATAGCTGTATCTGTGGAGAAGCAGCATCAATATATTTGTTCTTTTACACTATAACAGTATTATTATTTTATTATTATTACTTATGTTGTCATCAGATCAGACTCTCCCTGCTGTGTCCATTTCGGTAACCCCAAAAACTTAATTCCATTGTTCCTATGTTTTCCATATGTATCGTGTGAGTTACTGGAGCAGTTACTTCCAGGCATGGTAAAACAGTGCGGTATTGCGAGAAACTCCTCTACTACCGAGCTAAAAACACACGTAAACAATACTGTTTTGCTGTGGGAATCCAACCAACATGGCGGAAAGGGGGGGAGCACTGTAAAATGACGTCAACTCCTCATTCTCAATAGAGCTGGTAAATCCCGCCCCTCCGTAAAACTCCAA